ATAGCCGCAGAGGTGGGAACCGCTCTCGTGGAAAGGACGTTATCCTACAAGTGATACAGTAGCGGTGGATGTGGTATCATCGATCACTCACTGCTCCTTCAGAATAGCGGAATCCCCCATAGTTGGCTCGAGCAGAGCTCTCGAAACCAGGCCCCCGAGAAGGACTCGATGCTGGGGTAACAGGTAGAGGGGGAACCTACATACGGCCATCGAAAAAGCGACGTAAGCTGAGACCAGTGAGGGATAATATGCACATGGCCAACTACAGCTGTTAGTAGGAATAATTTGGGAAGTTATCGTTGGTTTCTTTACACTTCTACACGAAATCGTGAATGGATTTTCATAATATAGTGAGAAAACTGACGAGCTCACTTGAAAGAACCAAGCATATATTCCCACACTGGCTAAGACTCAAGAAAATGAGAAAGGACCTAATCTAAGAAGTATCTCCGTCTCGGAACTCACCTCAGGCTTTGGTTCATGTTCCACTATGTACTCCTTAGGCCACGTGAGGTACCTCAACCCCTCCGACCCGTCAGCAGCGATTTCTATGGTAGCACTCAGAGGATTCACACCATGCTTGCTTTTGCACTGAGTCGTTTCTGGTACTGCAACCTGTCAAATGAGTTGAATGCCTTCCTAAATCACCCGAGTGCATCTCACCTCTCGAGTAGGGAAGCCCATGAAGGTATTCAGGTTCACCGCGTCACCAGCCTCTGTACATGAGACTGTCACTTCACCAGCAGCGCACTCCAAGCTGAATCGATATATAGCAGTTGTCGTGCCCTTCTTCACAATCACAACCGGAGGCGTCGTGCTAGTCGACTTGCAAACCACCGGAGTGTCCTCACTTCCAAACTGAGGGAGACAACACTCACAAATCGTCATTGACAGCAGAGTAACGTTAAGAGCGAATCGTGTTGAAACTAAATACAGTTAACCAACCTACTCAACTACCTAACAACAGTGCGTGCCAATTTAGTATGCAAATGTGAAGAAAATGATCGTTTTGCCAGCGCGAGATGCCATAATGGGAAAGTTTGTCTCCACCACAGCTTCAAACGATTATGTTTCTCACAGTACATGTTCATAGCAATGCTTACATTCTATCTGCGAAGTATCAGAACGATTATCATTAATCTCGAGAAAAACACTCATTTTTAACATTTACATATCAAATGGGCACGAACTGTGATATATTTAGTTATATTATAATCACAATACGAACTCGAACGCCCTTCATCTCCATCACTCTGAAGATAAGCGTCTGCCATGCCTACTTGCATCATCTTCGCTTTGGTGGCCAAGTCCATGAGCACTACGCTGATACTCTCATATTCCTCCCTACCCACTGGCTTCACTTTGCAGGAATCGTACTTCGACCCATCGAGACCGATCTGATAGCGATGGTCCCGGGTTCAATTCCCACCACGGTCCTTTTTAATAATTTAAAAGCTACTCAGATCGCCTTAAGCTGGAAAGCTATTCCCACCTACCGCTGCACTCCCATCGAAACCTCCCCAGTTCTCGGCGAATTCCACAGCGCTGGTATCATCGCACTGGACCAACACTTCCGACTGAACTCCACTGCACTTAGTCATCATATTGATAGAATCTCCATTGACCACAAGTGGTCTCTTTACACCATAATAACAGTCGTATGTAGTAGTAGTCTGAAAACACAACAAACATCAGCTTTCTCGTGTTTACTGTTGGAGGAACATATGTTCGCTTCCCTCAGCTGAGCTGAAGAGTTTACATTCGAATTCGGGTAGAAGTGTACAGAAAGTGTTCTTAGTTCTTTGAAGTTTAAAACTTCATTCCGAAGTTTCTGCGAAAATTGGTAAGAAAATTCCTCATAGTTTCCACATTTTCACCAACACACGTAGTTGATCATGTGAATATTCTCCCACACTGCTGAGCTCACCTTCAGGAATCTGCCCGAGACTTTGCCGTCAATAGCAGCAGTTATCCAGGCCTCAGTCAAAGCCCCTCCATTCAAGTTCTCCACATCCCTACAGTGTCCAACCACCGATCCATCTATCATGATCTGTTCACACAAGCACTAGAAATATAACTGATATGAAGCCAATGCCTCACCCTAGGGTCCGGGTGTTCACCCCACCGAGCAGCTATCCTCAGCATAGTTCCAACACTATCAAGTCCACCACACGAGATCTCCTCCTTAGAGTGTCCACAAGCCGTTATAATGTATATCCTGTCCCCTCTAAAGACCAAGTCCGGTACTGGTGTACTACACACAGCATCGCCCTGAAAGTAACATAGGCTATCGATAATAAACTACGGCAAAGACCCACCCAACGTCTCGGTGTTCCCTGCCACTTGCCGTCCATGCCAACATCGTAGGTCAAATCGTCCAGTACTTGTCCATTGGGTAGATCGTCACACTGCAGTAGTAACTCACTGCTCACCCGAACCTGATCATAGACGAGTCGCCAAACCTCTCATTCAATCGCGGACTGTCACCTCTTGTTTCGGGTACTTCCCCCACTGGAAAGCCATAGTCACCGCACTGCCAGCATCATCACATCTCAAAATAACTCCGTCCTTTCCTCCACAGTCAACCTTCACGTGGTACTCATCAACCAGATCCATATCCTCAGGAGCGTCCACCACAGCACCACACTCTATCGGAGACTCCATCGAAGCGAACTGACAAGCAAGCCATCCCTCCCAAATGCGACCAATTCTCTCCTACTATCAAATATCGTGTTTCATCATCATAGTAAGCTCCAGTGAGCTCAACCTCTCGATCGCCTATCAAGCCCTGCTTACAGCTCTCTATCACCTCAGTCGGCAGCGCCACCTAAATCAGTAATATACATCCTAATGATAACAATAGAATTAGGAATAGGAATATATATCTACACTCATTGAGATCATGATATCAACTTTTAATGCAATCTTTATAATTCATTTTTCCTCCCTAATATTATACACATAATAGGAATAATCTTATTCCTCGAAATTTCGGAATATGATAAGTCTAATATTTATAAAGGTAGTATAACTATTGATAAAAACAATGACCGTATAACATCCAATTGTCACCATAAGATAAAATATAGTAAATTTATAATATAAGTATATATAAACAACATACATACGTCCTTCAACATCGACCCCAAATGAGAACCTACTCCTGCTTTCTCCATATCCCCCCATCCGTGAGCAAAGAGCTGTGCCCATTCAAGCCCATCACAGGTAACCATGGTGACACTATCCCTCCTAGGACCACAGTCCGCTGTCACCACATACCCATTGCTAGCATCCATCATGATAGGCAGTGTCACCGCGTTACACTCTAGAGGATCCTTGGCGTCATACTAAGAGAAACAACATGGACCCATACGATCACTATAAAAGGTCAAGTCGAGCGCACACTGGAGTTTCAAGACCGTGATATGAAAAATATATTTCACGACTACTGCATATCCGCAGCATATTTCACCAGTTCACGTAAAACAAGTGAAACTCCACTGTACTCATAAATCAGCCACTCACCGGTAGTTCTCGCTGGTCCACGAGCCTAGATGCTCCCACAGGCCCTCCACAGTGCTCCATGATCGGGTCGTCTATCCTCACCTAGAATTCAGAGAATTCACAGACTTCTGATATACCAGTACACTCACCCTAGCATCAGTATTCCCAAGCCACCACTTCGACAGGAACAACGTCGTCGCCACATCCCCACAGTCTAGATGATCGTAGACGATACACTCCGTATCTTGGCATTCAGTTCGCGTTGGTTTGAACTCGAGTTCAATCCAGAAATGCCATTCTCTATACACAGGATCCTCATCGCTGTCGACCACCTCCCGTTTTAACACCTAACACATAGTTCTTCATCAATACCACACAACCGTGTAGGGGGAATATATGTTCGCTTCCCCCAGCTGAGCTCAGAGAGGTTCCTCACTAATTATACGAATTAGGGTAGAAATGTTCGGAAACCAACAAAAATCTCCTCAAAATTCTCCCATACATGTAGCTGACCATGTGCATATTTTCCCACACAGTTCACACTCACTCGCTCAGGCGATCCACTGGGTCTCCTTCTAGTGCTGTTAAGTGGTATAGGCTCTCCATCCGAGTCCTCTCCCGAGGCTATCATAGGCTCCCACGACGAAGGCCACGTCTAACACACGTCGACTACCATGCACGCTGCCCTGTCCAGATTCCCACCATCATCCGCGCTCCTACTTTACCATCAGCGTCGATGTCAACAGAGGCTCCCAAAGGGGACATACCACTCGACTTAGCCTTACACTTCTTCACTTCTCGTACCGTAATCTGAGTAAATCGTCATCATTCCCCCCCCCCCCCCCCACACCACGGCTCCTACCTCCCTAGTTTGATAGCCGAAGAAGGTAGAAATGTCCACAGCGTTACCAGGCAGACTACAGGTAATGCCAACACGGTTATCACAAGGGACGTGGAGAAGATATAAACCAACATCATCATCATCATCTACCACCAAGACCGGCGGCCCACTTGGACTCCCACAAGTCTCATGACTTCTGTCTGGGAACTGCAAACGGGAAAAACAAAAAAATTTTTTTCCTCAGAAATTCAAATCAGCGACAGAACGCGCGACGAAAATGCCAAAGTGGTCGGCCGACGCCAGCTTGAGATCCATAACGACGGCTCGTCGACCTTCCATAGCTCACGAAAGGTACTTCAAAAACAACCCTTCTACTACTACTTGAACGAGGAAACAATAGATCCAAGAACTTCTCAAGTTGTGGTATTATATTTTCTTAATACGACCAGTAATAAATATAATTATCGTATATTAATACATATGAATTTGCATGCCCGTGCATATACCAGGTCTTGGCCTTTCAAAGCTGCCGAGTTCGCAGCCATACTCCTATACTGGCTACTTCCTCCTAGTGAACTATACCAAAGTTATTTATATAGTGAGAATATATACAATCAAAAAATACTCATCGACGGAGCGTAACTCACCACAACATTCCTGTCATGAGTGTCGATATTATAAGTAATACTCCCGATTGGCTTTCGTGCACTATCATCTTCTACTTCGACCGCACAGGACGAGTACAGAGCCGGATCTAATACCACCTAAAAGAAACACATTACTACCACTTCACCACGAAAGCAATACACATTCCCTATGTTCACCATGAAAACAACCTTCCGGTTCCACCAAAAAATAACAAATTCCAACTCGTCGTACTAAGCCCAAGTACTCACCACCGGGTTGTCCCATCCTCCCCAGTTCTTTGCGAACTCCCGTGCAGCTCCAAAGTCGCCACCGTCACAGCTCACAACCACAGCGCCTTCCTTCCCTGCACACTGCGTCGTCACCTTAACACTGTCACCCGATAGTGTCATTGCACTCTTCACACCGTAATCGCACTGGATAGCCTCTGCAGTCTGAAACACCAATAGCAGTAACGGTGTCAATCACTAAATCATCAAAATCACTATGCGACCGAACATAACTATTTGAGGAATATATCTACACTTTTTTCAGCCAACCTCGAAAAGGTTTTACACTTCCAAAAGCAGACTCGGTACAAGTGTACAGAAACCAACAAGAAATTTCCCACAATTTTCACATAGTCACCAACACACGTAATCAACCATGTGCATATTTTCCCTCCACACTACTCCTACCTGCCCTCAGTACTGTGGCTACTCACACGGCCCGAACCCCCCTCGTTTTCTCACCCATAAGAATCTCTCAATATGCGACCCGTCACTGTTCACACGTAACCAAGCCGACTCCACTATATCCTCATCACCAGCGTTAGTCAGCAGTCCCTTGCACTGCTCCATCACCTTTTTACTGATTATTATCTACATACCACACCATCTGGAATTCCTCCATAATTTCACCACCACTCCCCCTACCTTAGGATTCGGGTTTTCGCCCCATCTAGTGACAATCCTCATAGTTTCCTTTATGCCCTCCAGCCCTCCACAGCTCATCTCCAAAACCTCCGCTCCACACGTCGTCCTCACCAAAATTTCATCACCAATGAACTTCAAGTCAGGCACTGGGGTAGCGCAAGTAAGCCCTTTTTGTTCAGTGACCTAACCCGGCAATCAGCGTTGAAGGGAAAAATGTTCGCCTTCCTCAGCTGAGCTCAGGAGTGCCTTCACTAACTATAGAAGTCTACATACTAATCCAAGTAGAAAAATACAGTAATCTCCCAAAATTTCCCTATAATTTTCATACTGTCACCGACACATGTAGTTAACCATGTGCATATTTTCCCACACCATGCAGGAACATATAAATTTTGAATTCTCAACGTATGGCTAGGAACACATTCTTCAATCAGTTTTCCTTGTCAATGTCATGATCACAATGTGAACATTCCCCCCTAGGGGGGCGCGTTATCTCTCACTAAGTGATCTCACTACTCACCCAAGCTCTAGTCGTCCCCTTCCACTGCCCATCCTCAGCCACTTCATAAACCAGAGCCTTCGTACCCGACGGAACAGTGCATTTGACCAGAAGTGACTTGTCAATTTGAATCTGATCGCCTCCTCCTTACCATTCTATAGTAAAGTCTCACCTCAGAATTCGAATAAGAACCCCATAACCGAGCCAACTTCACAGCAGCCCCCGGTTCAGTGCACTTAACAACTGCGTCCCTTTCACCACATTTAGTGATAATATGATATTCTCCCAGCAAATCCATATCTATAGGGGCTTCGGCTACCTCAGAACATACTATGGGAGTCTTCGATGAGGATATCTGAGCGCCTCAGTGTGGTGAAATCCACACATGGTCAACCACATGTGTTGATCACAATATGAAAACTCTAATAAATCTATACACTCGCAATTCGTATTAAACTCCTATAATTAGTGAGTAAATTTTTCAACTCAGCTGAGGAAAGCGAACATATACTACTCCCCCTATATCAACCCACCATGATAGTCCTTTGCCTCGTAGCAGGATCATAAGCAGCGCCCAGCAATTTACTTGTCGATTCCCCGACGCTCACCACCGAGCATTTCTTGATAATATCAGCCGAAATGGATATCTGCAACACGTGTAATAAAAAAAATGAATTTAATAAAAGATTTCAAAATTTCTTCAATGGAGTTTCACGACCGTGATATGAAAAACATATTTCATAAACTGCTGCATATCACCGCGAATATCGCGTTTCACAATACGTATCACGCCATTTCACGTAAAACAGGTGAAACTCCAATAAAAATGTAAATGAATACACTCCCAGCAGGGGTGACACCCACATCAGAAATCTCTGTGTCACCCCATCCCAGCGCGAAGTCCTCAGCCGTTTTCTTCGCACTACACCCAATCTTCGTACTCTTTCCTCCACACTGACTCGAGAACACATACCTAGGGGCAACCTCAACAACAATGGTAACCTTAGTACTCACCTGCCATTCACCCACATCATGTGTGGCTCCACTGCTTCACATGAAGTCGACTTGCCAGTGGAAGTCTGAGCAGGAGAATTATCTCATCTATTGATAAGTGTACATAAAAAGGATACAAAAATTGATGAAATCTATGCATGTGAATTCATTTCCGTACATCAACCAGGTCTTAGCCATTCACTTAAAGCTGCTGAGCTCACAGCCATACTACTGTTTGCCTGCTAGAGGATCTCCGCTCCAAAAGTAGATTATGTGTGGCTATACACCGTGCAGTGGCGTAATACTCTATGAAAATTGTACGACGTGTATGATTTTCCGCGACACCGATAACACAATTTTTCATCCACTCTGCGGAGTGATTGCAAAACATTCGTTTTCATATCACGGGTGAAACTCCATTGT